CAACTTTACAATGAATTTGCAGGGACATGCAGTATTTGGCGTTTTACCCTCATGAATTCTGTTTAATCTATTGTAAGACCCTGTCGCGGATTACTTTCTTTAATACGAATACAAATTGAAAAACTAATTACATTGGTTTCCAATTAAGTGTTTAGAAAATAGCCCAAAAGGACGGGCGAGCGATAATTGGCTAAAATTCGTGTGAGCTCAAGATTTCTATTGCGTGACAGTTGACGAGGCCAACTATCACGCAAAGAAATCGAGAACGAATAATCTAATTGTTTTAATATACTAGGTTGAGAAAGGACTTTGCTCGATAAAAGCTGGCATGAACTATGCCTGAAGACTGGAATGCCCGGAGTGGGTTACACTCTACAAAGATTTTAAGGACGTTCGCGCGAAAATTTTCCAACACTGATTTTTTTTCTGAGACTTTCACTTCTGTAAAATGACGAGTAAGTTATGTCAGAAATTTAAAAAAAAATGGGGGATCACCAAGAACATACCCGGAAGAACACCGTAAATCTGAAAATATTGGGCTTCGTTCGCTAATAAGGCCACAGTGTCTTGGAGCCCAAAAATATTGCTAATGATGTGGCGTGTGAATTTGCGTGCGCAGTTAGGATGAACGGAAACAATTAGCGCGAAAGTCCTTAATTTCCCTTTTGTTCCGCGCTCGCCCTAGTTCACGTGGTTAAAAAGCCGGGAGACAACACCTATTGCTTATGAATCAATCGCAAACATTTGGATTTGAGTTTCATTATCATTGTGCATTTGCTGGACGATCGGTCAGGCAGTCGATTGCTTCGCTTTCTGCTCCACTGTGCTGAAGAAACCCAACAAGGTCGAAACAGCTGTCCAGGGTTGCAGTTCTTGGCTTTAAAAGTTGCTGGGATACCACGTTTACAATCCAAGTCTGACGCATCGTGGAAAATCACCCCTCAAGCCGCGCTTGGAAATCTTGGTGGAATATCATTTCTTTCGCAATGCAATTACGACGTCAAGTTCTTTTTTTTTTTTTTTTTTTGTATTTTATTGATATTTATGTAAGTTTATAAATAAGAGTGACAATAACAATTGAAATTACACTTGCAGATAAAAGAAAGAAAAACTAGATAAGCTAACGTGAGTACAGATGGAAAAAAAAAGGAGGAATACTATTACTAATAAGACTACTTAAGAGGAAAATACTCATACACCCAAAATACTTACTAACTATTTGTATTAATGAATAAAACTACGCTAATTTTTACTTTTTTAGAAGAAACTACATAGACTAACACTAGTATAGA